ACTTATTAGCCATGGGCTTAATAACCGGCGACTGCTGTAATAAATATTTCAGTAAGTAATCCTTTCAGATCGAAAAAAGTTCGAGAATTTGCAAAAAGAACCTGGAGCCAGCATACTCGTTTTCATTAATAAAACGTAACCAGAGTAAGGATGAGTTTTGGTTGAAGCACGACTACCTGGTGCTAGAGTAAAATAAAACTCCTACAAGGACACGCAACGCAACCGAACGGCACAAGTGTATAGACATCAACATAAATCAGATGAAAGACAGGAGGGGGTAGCGTACCTCCACAAGGTCGGGAAGAGGAATGATAGGCTCAAACTGAGGATCTGGCTCAGGTTCCTCGCCCTCTGGTTGGTCAGTGCCACCACCACCGGCAGCCGTCTTCTGCTGGGCTGCGAAGAGGGTACCGCCGCCGGCTTCCGACCAGAATCTCGGGGCTCCGGACTCCGCGGGCTTTGAGGTGGACAGCCAGGAGGGCTTGGCGTCTGCATTGGCGGACAGACTAGAGAAGTCTGCAAAATTAATTTTCAGTGTCGGGAAATCTGTCGGAGGCAGAGAAAGCAGCGGGTGATGGCTTAGAATAAACAACAATGAAAAAGGGGAGGGGTAAGTCAAGTTAGAAACGACACAGACAAGAAGATATCGGGAACATCTGACTCGTAACGGGGCTGATTGCGTTAAGGGACTGTTATTTGCGATACAACTTATGTGTGAGATGCTTTTACGACGAGGCTTTTTATTTAGTGCAACGAGCGAAAGGGACGGAGAAAAATGGGCAACTAAAGAATCATGGGTTGGAATGCAGAGGCTGCGTGAATAGCAGACCTTCGGGCAGCAGAATTCTGTTCGTGAAGGTGAAAGTTCACAGAAAGTCTGTCGAGCTTTATTCGCCGGTGAAGAATGGCCCACTCCAAAAAGGAAGGAATTGTTCGCAACGTTTGTTTACTTGATTGTCTTTAATGACGATTAAATGCAAATAACCGAGAGGCAGCGGGAAAGCCGTTATTATTTGCATACTTTCGTTTGAACTAAGTGGTGCAGATAGATTAAAGTAAAACTGCGAAACCGGAGCAAGGTGATTAAGGAAGGATGGGGTGAGTTAGATGCTTAACAAGCCTGCCTAACCATAAACTAATCCAGATGCAAATGACCTATACTGAGTTCGGGCTGTGGGACACGCGGTTGAACGCGTCACTTGCAACGATGTGCGATGTGCGCGGCTTTCGAATTTGAGCCACCCATTTTTTTGCTCTCCATTCACGCGGG